ATCTGTATATTTAATCAATATTTTTCAAGTTACCAAAGCATGATGTTACAAAATCATGCATGGGTAGAAGATGGAAGTATAAGACTGATGGATTTTAACTTAGCAAAGTTTAAAAGTTCATCGATACAGTTTCTGATCCCACATTGCATTAAACTTTAAGAAGCTACCACTCATTGGGCTTTGGGGTAATAGCAAAGAAGAATATAATTATCTGGAAACATTCCTTCTTTTGTAAATTGTTTACACCTGTTTGAAGCAAGATTGTCTTTCTGTCAACCAAAACGACAGGTAATAGATTGAATTCAGCAACAGATATGAGAACCCTGTCAGACACTGAAGTGAGTACAAATATGTAAAACATTATCTTTCTTCGCACTATGTTTTTTGTTTTGGAAAAATATGTTTTAGCACGTAATGGGTTTATTATTTTTATTCAAAATGCATCAATACAGAAATATTGTTCAAATGTGTTTGAGTTTCTAGTACAATAAATATTAATAGATAGCTATTCCCACCCACACAGCTTCAAGAAGTTCTGAGACTAAGAGGTCTGAGAACTTCTGAGTTATGAGGTGCGCATAGTAACGGGTAAATTCAGTTTGCTTGCTGTTGCTTTGTACAACTGCAGCACATGTGACTTAGCCCAGGAGAGCTGCATCCCCAAACCTTCCTAGCCCTCTTGTAATTCTGCATTTTTTCATCTACTGTCAGATCTGAGGACAGGCACAGATCTCTGTTTCTCTTGGGATTCCATGCTGCTATAAAGATATTTGAGAGTAGCCTTTTCCACGGGTAAGATCCCTGGTGATCTGCACCCTCATGTGAGTCCCCACACTCAACTGGGGGCTTTGGTGAAGAAAGAAATTGCTCTTTTTCAGTCTGCACCCTTTCAACTCAGCCCCAATTCCATCTCCGTTGTGCTTCCCCCTGATACATCCGTATGACTACGTCTTTATATCCTCTTCTCCCACCCTGTCCTTTCTATTGGTCTTGTCATCTCTTTGTTATCTCATCTTCTACATCTTCCTCTTTAATTCCATTTCCTATCCCTTACACATTCCTCTATGGTGTCTTTCCATTCTTTTTGGCATTTTATTTCTCATAAGAACACCCTGAAGCGCTGTTTCAACTCTTCTTATGGCTTTTCTTTTCCTTTTTTTTCTTTTTTCCAGTATCGGGAATAGAACTCACAACCTTGCGCTCGCCAGGCAGGTGCTGTGCCGCTGAGCTAAATCCCCAGCCCCCTTCTCATGGCTTTTCAATACCTTCCTTAAAGATGAATAACACTGTCATTAGGGAATGGATTTTCTTATTTTATGGAAAAAATAAAACAAGATTTCATAACAAAATAATAGGAGAATAGCAATAGTTAATACATTCTATGCCATTATCTTCAAAGTACAAGAGATGAGCATACAAAATTCTCTAAACAATATTAGCACAAACCTTTCTTTTCAATGAACTAAGAGAAACTAGTAGTATAACTAATTTGTATTCTTTTCCTTTTGCTTCCTTCCTTTCCCCCCTCCCCTACCTTTGATCTTCTTTTCTTTTGAGTGGTTCTAGGGAATGCACTTTTAATCACCAGATATTGGTGCCTGCTAAGTACATCGATAGCTCAGTTCAACTCTGCGCTCGGTGGCATTCTTTTCATTGTGTTCCCTCTGCTCTCCTTCCTCTCCCCTCTGTTACTGGATTTCGGCAGTCATACAGGCTATAAACCTCTGCCTCACATTTTCAGGGTCTTCCTCTCTTTGAGACACTTCATCAAATCAGTCTTGTCCGTATTCCCCGGTGTGGTTCCCTACGCCAGGGCCTCATCAAGAGCCTCTTAAGTCACGTCTCTGCCCCACTTTCTCTCCTTCCATCACGCCTCCCCCTGCTATCGGACTGCACGGGCCCACAAGACAAAGATGTCTTAACTGCTCACCATTAGCTGGTAGGTGAGCCTGCAGGTCTTTGATTTCTGTTTCTTCAAGTGTGAAGCCAGTGTTTTGTAACACATTTTTTAAGTCACGGATATTGACCTTTCCTCCTTAATAAAAACAAGGAAAGGTAGATAAGGATGTTTTGTTAGAAAACAAAAACTGCAAGCCAGGATCTTCTACCTAAAACTGAGAGCACAGAGAAACTACAGCAAGCCATGCGGGAGTCAGGACTATGCGTCCATAATTAAACTTCCGGGGGAATTACACTGGGAGAAGAGTGTGTGTCATTGCTAGTGGGTTAGAGATGACAACCAAGTCATGCTGTTCTGGCCAAAAAGTAAGATTCGAAACCTGCTACAGGAACAGTGAGTTACCTCCCAATGTAATTGTACATACAGGAGAGCGTACTTAATGAGGAATTTCTAAAAACCACTGATGTAGTTTTTATCAAATCAATCTGAATAATGAGGGTTTACAAAGTCAATATTATACATTTCAGATGAGTTAAGTACATGTAAAAAGCAAAACAATAAAAAAAGGAGAAATCACAAAAGATGGATAAAATTAAATAAAAATTTAGAAGTTCATATACAGTACAATACAATGCAGTGTAATAGACGGTAGATTGTAGATGTCTAGGTCTTGGAAGATAGGGAGGGTATGGGAAGTGACTGCTACTGGGCATAGAATTGTTGCTCTTTCTTTCTTTCTTTCTTTCTTTCTTTCTTTCTTTCTTTCTTTCTTTCTTTCTTTCTTTCTCTTTATTTATTTCTCTCTCTCTCTCTTTCTTCTTCTTTCTTTTCTTTCTTTCTTTTTCTTCCTTCCTTCTTTCTTCCTTTCTTCTTTTTCTCCTCCTCCCTCTTCTTCTCCTTCTTCCTTGTTCCTTTTCTTTTTTTCTTCTTCTCCTTTTCTTTCTCTTTTTCCTCCTCCTCCTCTTCTTCCTCCTCTTCCTCTTCCTCTTGCTCCTCCTCTTCCTCTTCTTCCTTCTCTTTCTTCTCTTTCTCCTTTTTCTTCTTTAATGAAAGAGAGGTTTAGTTTTGTGCAAAGTTTCTTTCTGGGTCGATAGACCATTCTAAATTTGATTGTGTTGATGATTGTACAACTTCTCTTTTTTTTTAGTTTAGAAGAGTTTTATTGGAAATAAGAATCCTTGGAAATAGCTCCCGAGTTTCTAGGAAGGGTCTTGAATGGCTGACCACATGGTTTCTCAATTTCAGGCTAGTTATAGATAAGGAGAACACAGGTATTACTTAGTTGTCTAGTGGTCATCTATCACAGGTGGCTGTGTGGATTATTTATTTAAAACAGGGTCTCCGTACATAATTCAGGATGACCTTCAACTCACTGGGTAGCCTAGGCACATAATGGTTGTGCAGGCATGTACAACCATAACCAGATAGCTCTGTGGATTCAGAATGATCAGCTGGAACTCAGGCTCTATAATCCACTTCCTCAGCAGGCAGGATTTGAAGAAAACTGGGATTTTAGAGAAAAACTGGTTACTGTGAATTTTCAATTCCTCAGAAACCAGGCGCTTAGTAGGGAGTGGCCACATCTCAGTTTAGTGAGGAGCGGGCTGTATTCCTTATTGTCTAATGAAACTCACTATAATTTAAATTCTGCAAAAATCAGGAACTTAGTAGGAGGGAGTGGCTGCAACTCCTTTTCGTAGGGAAGGGGCTGGTTTCTAGGTTGCCTGAGAAAGTTCAGCCTTTGTCCAAAGTCCTAGTTCACGGTCTAATCTATTTCAATTCCCACCAATATGGTTGATTATCCAACTCTATCTCAGGTCCTTTCCCTAGCTAGCTGCCTCACTCATAAGCTAACCACATGAACTATTCTCTACGCTTCCCCCTCTGAACAGGTATCCCCAATGGCTGATAGGCAAAAGGGGCTGAAGACTGAATTCAGCTGCCTTGAGCTGAGACGGATTGATGTAGGGGAGATGGAATCCAGAATTTTCTCAAGAGAGCTAATCTAAGAGGCTCAGAAATCATGTTGGGGTTCAGCAGTCATGAAGTCATGTTGGGGCTCAGTGGTTACCATAATAAAACTGGGTCTTCTATTAATTTTTGCTTCAAAAGTCACAGTGGGGCTTATTTTCAGAGGATGTCTTATTTTTTTCATGTACAGTAAGTCCTCAATTGAATGAATGAGTTCTGTTCAGGCAGAACACTTGTATGCTGGATTCATTTGTAAGTCTGGAAAAGTGAGTCTTATACACCTTTGACGCATATATACAATGTAAAGCATAAAAAATTCACTTGCTCCATGATCTTGTCCTTGTTCTTCAGTGGTTGAACAATTCGTGTTATAAGAACAAAGCAGTGTCTATCATCTTCTTGCCTTTGTCTGATCTCCATTATTTTCACTTTTGCTTCCATGGTTATTGCTTTGCACACCCTGGCATCCCCTCCACATCACCGCTGCTTTTCCTCTTGCGTCCGGACATCGTGGGCCGTGATTGAGCGCTGTGCCGCTGTGCACTCTCGCACGCTACATTAAGCACAGCAGCACGTGAATTCTTCACCCAAGTCACGACCTCTTGCAGGCCAGGCCTCACAGAGTTTCCCCTCAATCAAGTGTTTGTCAAACACTTATGGGACAGGAATGGCAACAAAAATGATGACCGTGAATGACAGTCCACACAAAACAGCGAAACATCGCAGGCACCAACATTCGGAAAATGTTTCTTCATTTCGTGGAGTTGTGTTCCGCATGTGCGCTGCACTACGCAGTGTACTGGGCTATGAAGATTCATATTAGAAACAGCCACGCCTGGTCACTTTCAGGAGTGCACATAATTTGTGCGCTGGGCATTTGGCGGAAAGTCTCAAGCTCATCTCTTTACACAGGTGTCTACATCTCGTCCAAAGGTGCTTGCTTTGGTATTTACCAACACTTCATTACAATTCTTAAGATCGTTTAGTTATTAACGTCAATTATATCATTCACATCTAATTATATATTATTATTATTTTATAATTCCATACATCCTCTGTGTGTTGTAGCGGATGTACTAAATGCATCCACCCATCTGGCTGATGACCCTGACTGGGACTTATTTTGGGGGTAGGACTTACAAGCAACCCGGAAAACCAGGCTAGGTCTTATTTTCAGGGGTCTGGACTCTTTTCAGAGGGTCATCCTGGTGGGCCCTGGTGAGAAGTCTGGCACGTTCATTACTGGTTCCCACTGCAGGACCATTTGGAATGTGACAGCCTCTGAAAAGTGTCCACATTCTTTGGCTGGCTGTCGCATGCTGGGTCGCAATGCACATTTCGTCACAGGCAGCTGGATACGTCAGGTGCTCGGGCCTCCTAAGCTCTTATCTCAGTGGGACTTCCATTTGTCGTGGGAAAAATAACTTCCAACCTAGAAGATGGCAGAGGTGCTGAGTTTGTGGGCTCACAACTTTGAGGAATGAAGTTAAAAATCAAAGGAGGCGGTTAGGAGAGTTTTACTGGGAATAGGAAGAGTAGGTCCTGGGTTTCCAGGAGGGGTTCCGAGTAGGTGGCCTGATAGTTGTACAACTTCTGTTAATACACTAAAGCCTTCTGAACTATTCACTTTTTTTTTTTGAGACAAGGTCTCACCATGTAGGATAGGCTGGCCTTAAACTCACTTATGTAATCCAGGCTGGCCTTAAACTCATGGAGATCCTTATGCCTCAGCCTCCTGTATGCTGGGATTACAGTACTTTAAATGGGTAAATTATATGGCTTGTGAACTATAAATCAATAAAGCTGTTGCAAAAAAAAAATTACAAAATAAGATGTAAACACAACCAATTGGGAAAATACATATTGTAGATATAGCAATGTGATTATGTGTAAAAGAGGTGATTCAAATTAACAGGAAAATGTTCAGAGTTCGGTAGGACAATGGGTAAATCTCCTGAATAAAAAATTCAAAGGCTAGAGGAATAATCATATAAAACATTTTTAGCTCCATTGATAACAAAAAAGTCAAAAGTATAATTCGATCAATTTTTTCATCTATCAAATTAGCAAGACAAAAATATGTGGATTAAATGTAGGATATATAAAATAGTAAGAGTTTAATTACAGTACACACATGCACAGGAACAAGAACAGAAGTATCTATAATAAAATTGATAAAACTGATTGAAATTATGGATAATTACATTTTTTTCTGTATGCTACTCTTTATATCCCAATTATTCTTAACTACCTAGCGCCTAGTAGATTCCTGAATCTGTTGAATAAAATGCATTGCTTTCTACTTATTTATATCAGAAAAATACCAGGTAGAATGGCGTCAATTGTTACTGTCCTTATCCTTGTTCACACTCACTTTTGAAGGACTTCATCCCATTCAGGAGGTCTTTCTTAAACACCTTTTTATTAGCTGTAAGGTATAATACAATGATGTTTTTGGACAGTCATGAAAATCAGCATCTGTACTTACAAAAAGTGAAAATTTAGGAATTTATCACAACTCATTCTCAATGCAAAATACCTAGAAAACTCAGTGCCGGGTACCTTCCAGTATCTATTGGAAAGAAAAAGCGATCACTAGCGCCTTCCCGCCGTGCTGAAAGACAAAAGCCTCGCTTTTTCCTGATTTCTCCTTTCTCTTCTTTCTTTAGCTTTCCCACCCTTCTGTCCTTTCAGTTTTTTCCAGTTACACTGTATACCTTTATTTCCCCCAAAGGGACAAAAGAACAGAAGGGACTTTTGACTGAAGAGGGCTCTGTTTCCTAAGCTAAAATCTAAAGAAGAACAGGATTTTAGAAATGCTAGCTAGGACTGAATCTTTTGAAATAGTATTTTTTCTTTCCAAAAAAGTATTTCAAATGGATGCAAAATGTTTTAAACATTAGCATTATTAACACAAAACTTTTATGAGACCAATCTTTCCTGCAGTTTCCTTTAAGAGGGCAGGAGCCCAGGGAAATGGACATGCCCCTCACTCTTCCACAGTGTAGGGATAGTACTGTACACGTAGGGGTTCATCAATAAATGTTTGTTGAATGAATTTATTTTTAAATTATCGGTGAAGTAGAACACAATGAAACGCTTACCAGAAATGGGCAGAGTTTTCAGCAGCTTTTTGTGCTCTTTGTCTGTGATGTGTATTCCCATGTTGCCCAAAACATTTTTCAGGTCCCCAGCATGAAACTTTTCTCCTTTAGAAAAAGGGAAACAGTCTTTGGTGAGGATATGTATAACATGTGTGTGTGTGTGTGTATTTGTATACAGATATATCAAATTTATCCTTCTTAGTTGAAGAGGGAGAAGACTTGTTTAGCTCTTCCGAGTGAGGAAGGGGAGTTAGAAATTTTTCATCTAACCTAAGTAGAAGAGACTATCATAACTATAAAACAGTACCATATAAAGTAAAATAGCGTGTAATTTCTCAGTGACTTTGACTCTGATGTCTTACGTAAATAATTCAGCAACTATAATAATAGTTTTCCTTTTTCTCTTTTTCATCTTCTTTCAGTCCTCATTGTCCTCTTTCCATTTTTTTTTCTTTTTTGTTGTTTTGAGACAGGGTCTCACTATGCAGTTCAGGCTGGCCTTGAGCTCACTGTGTAGCCCCCAGGCTGACCTTGAGCTCGCAATGATCCTCCTGCCTCAGCCTCCTGAGTGCTGGGATTACAGGCATGTGCCACCACGCCCGGCTCCATTTTTTCTTGAATATGGCATATTTAAAAGTGACGATAAAAGCTGTACTATGTTGCACCTTGAGTGAATTCCTACTATATCACCGTAAGCTTTGGGAAAGCAGGAATCATGTTTTTCTCTCAAAATGTAGCTGTGCACTGCATGTCTGCTTTGCCAGTTGGCCCCATGTCAAATTTTGCCAATACAGTAAAATGTGCTAAAGTCTGAAAGGTAGGATGGAAAAGGTTCTCCCTGAAGCTGTAGCCGAATCCATGTCGTTTTACCTCGTGGAATTAGTTTACTCTGCCATCCTCCTCACACTAGCATGAGGTCCCAGAGTTCTAAGGTAAAATCTGTAAGTCTAGATTCATTCAAATTGTGACTCAAGGATGCACGTAAAAGAAAGACCTTTTCAGATCAGGGTTCACCCTTACTGAAATAACTAAGAAGTAGGTATGTCAAGAAGAACGAAACCGAACCCCGAAAAAATAGAAAGAAGCAGTGGTGAGCAAGTGGCAAGTATGTTTAAGTCTTGAGGGAGACTGATTAAAATTGCCGTACTCTCACTTTCCATGACTTTCATGACAAAAACCCCATTCCAGGTTAAATGCAGGTCCCTCTTCGGCTGTGCTAGCTGAGCTAGAACTGAAGTTAACTACGCTATTTTCCCTTTAAAATGACCATGGTGAACTTTGGGTGGACCCTTGCTGCTGCTGGGAAGCAGAGCTTCAGTGTTGCGCCTTAGATCACTGGCTTACTGAGAACACCCACACACCATCTGCTAGTTCATTAACTTCTCCACTCTTCTGGAGGACTACCTCACATCACTTGTTCCTGTCTAAACCACTGTTTCCTCCTCTTCTATTTGACCTCTTCTACTTCTATCCCTTTACCTTTAATTTAAAAAGAAAGATGTTCTGGGCATGCTAGTACATGCCTGCAATTCCAGATTTGCTTGGGAGGCTGAGGCAGGAGAGTTGCCCTGAGTTTGAGGCCAGCCTGGGCTCCACAGTGAGTTTAAGTTCAGCCTGAACTGTATAGCAAAACCCTGTCTCAAAAAGCAAAATCAAAGACCAACAAACAAACAAGGGAAGATTTCTTCCTGTGTCTGGTGGTACTGGGAATGGAATCCAGGGAGTGCTGACCTACATTTGCATGCCTGTAATCAGGAGGCTCAGGTAGGAGGAGTTCGAGGCTAGCTTGGACTACATAGTGAGTTCAAGGCCAGCCTGGACTAATCGCAAGAACATGCCTCAAAAAAACCAAAAACATTTTTTTTGAATCTTTCTTTCTTTCTTTCTTTCTTTCTTTCTTTCTTTCTTTCTTTCTTTCTTTCTTTCTTTCTTTCTTTCTTTTTCTTTCTTTCTTTCCTTCCTTCCTTCCTTCTTTCCTTCTTTCCTTCTTTCCTTCTTTCCTTCTTTCCTTCTTTCTTCCTTTCTTCCTTTCTTTCTTGTCTTAGACAGGGTCTCATTATGCAGTTCAAGCTGGCCTTGAGCTCACTTTGTAGCCCAGGCTGGTCTCGAACTCACAGTGAGCCTCCTGCCTCAGCCTCCCAAGTGCTGGGACAGTGGTCTTTTCTTGATACCACTTTTACCAGTTTACTACCACTTCATTCTACTACTTTGCTTCTTTTACAGAAAAGGTCCTCATATATTCACATTATTTCTAAACTGTATCCTCTTATTATTTTAAATTCACTACAAACGGGCTTCTTTCTAACATTTCCCTCCTACCTGAACTGCTTGCATGTGTAATCCTTCTCTCAGTGTTTATTTTAAAGTCCCCCATCCTAATTTAATATTTGGTATGGGATGTGGACACCATGTTCTCTTAATTTTCCCACTACATCATGGACAACTCCTTTTCTTCTTTAAGACCTCTTTATATTTACTGAAGCGCTCCCAGATTTATTTCTTGGTCCTTTACTTTTCTTTACTTATATTCACTTCTTGGGTGAATTCATTCAGTCTTATGTCTTAAAATACAATCTATATGCCTCTCATATTTGATTTTATATTCTTACTCAGTATATCTTTCTTAGAGTCACATCTGTCCAGTAACTTTGTACTGGGCATCTGAATTTTGGGGCTTCTAGATATCTCAAATTTTCCCCAGTGGAATTCTTAATTTCCTTCCATACAAACTTGTACTACTGGCAACCTTCTTTATTATAGTTTACCTTCCCATTTTGATCAAGACAAAACTCTTAGACTCATTCTTGACTTTGCGTTTTCTAGTACTTTATGTCGAATTCATAAGGAAATTCTGTTGTCTGTTTAAGAATATCGCCAGAATCCAATTACTTTTCATCGTCTCCATTGCTTTCTACCCTGGCTTATGTCATCATTGTCTCTGCTCTAAGGCTCTAGTTGTTCTCCCTGTTTCTAGTGGGAAATCCTCCCCCTGCTCCTGTCTGTTCTCAACAAGAGTTGAGAAAGCTCTGATTAAAACAGATCACATCTTGCCTCTACTTTAAATCCCGCAGTGTCTTTCCATTTGTCTCAGAAAATAAGCCCAACTCCTTGTGAGGGCTTTCAAGGCCCGGCTGATCTTGCATCTGTCAGTTCTCCGCATTCCCTATTACTTTTTTCCTTTAATTTCCAAGTTGCAGCTATATTGGCTTTATTGTTGGTCTTTGAACAGTCCAGGTATGCTCCTGCCTTTGGGCCTCTCTCTTTGTCTCCTCTGATTGCAGCTCTCTTTATTTAGGAGTTTCCACATGGCCAAAACACTCACCTCCTTCAGGTGCTAGCTCAAATGTCGTCTCAAATTTCTATCTAAAAAACACAATCGTCCTCTCTCTCCAAGACATGTGGCCCTCTCCCTGCAACACACCCTTCTTTCCCAAATTCCTTTACTGTGTCTCACTTTTCATAGTATTTATTACTTCCTAATGCACTATATTTTATATATATATAATTATTTACTGCTTATTTTCCCTGACAGAATGTAAGTTTCACAGGGACAGTGATCTTTGTTTTGTTTACTAAACTATCTTAAGTACCTAGAATAATGCCTGGCATGTAGAAAATATTAAATAAGTAGTTGTGAAATGAATGTACAGAAGAAACATTATAGTGTTAACATATACCTCAGTATTAAACTTGAATAACATATATAAAATACTCACTGTAACATTTTACTCACCTGTAATCTTTTTAATTTCAGCCATCAACACATTCAAATCAACCTTCCCATTATCTTTAGAAAGAAAGCATCAAATAGATTTATAGAAAATTTATGGAAAATGCTTAAGTTGCAACATATAAAAAATTCAATCATTGAAAAACATTTCCCTAGAAGTTTATTTTTTATTAGATCCTCACAAATTTATTAATATAGCTACCGCTATCTACCCTATAAATTATAAAAATCAACCTAATACAGTGTATGAGCAAAGTTGAAGGTACTACCCTTTACAACAACTTATTACTTATTGAGTTTTTTCAGGGATTAAATTTTTTTTGAGAATGAAAAAGTTTGTTTAAAAACAGTGTTTTCATTTTTTTCAATGCCAACTTAACCATCGGGCGATACTCACAGTCACAAGAGAGCTGCGAAGGATCAGGGTTGGTGCACAGGTCCGGCCGCGCTTAGACGGCCAAGGTGATGCTCATCACCTTGATGTACTCAGTTAAAGTCCACTTATAGCAAAACGTTTTTTTGCTCTTCAATAACTTTTACAATTTAAAGGCATTTCCCACAAACCACGTACCTAGTTTCTTTGCTCATTATTTCTCGAATTAAAGTTGGAAGCTAATAAAGGTCAATGGATATGTTTCAGTTTGTAAAACTGCAAATCTGAGAAATGATGGATTGAGATGTTGAGAAAGTAGCTGAAGGTACTATTCCTCTCATAGGCAAGACTCAGTCTGGAGCCTTAAAGCTGCCAGTGAGCACCCTCATTTTCCACTATGACTTGGTCAAAGGTGCTGATCCAGTACTGCTCAAATATGTTGGAGCAGATATTATTTGTAATATCCCTAAGATTTTTAAGTTTTCCTGAGGGTGAGATACCAAGAATCACTAGTATTCTTACTTTTATCTAGGCATTAATGGTATGCATAAGATTGATGCTACATAAGCATTTACTAAATAATAGAACAAACTGCAAACATTATTGAGAATGAATTAGCTTTAAAAGCAATTTATATTCCAGGTTCTTAGGTGCAGAATTTATCCTTGCTTGAACTTTTAAAATGCTTTCTCAGAAATGATAGTTTTTTTTTGTTGGTATCTTTTATAGTTATATAATGTATTATTAATATTATTACTGTGATAATTTTCAAAAGGATAAGGAAGAATTTTTTTTTTTAATTAAAGTCTGTGCCTGTAAAGGACAGATGCTACTACATTCTTAACTTTGTGTGTCTATAGTTAATTTTACTGTGGCCTTTTGAGCCCTGAATCAATTTTCTATGCTGTCTCAGATGATTACACAGGTGTACAAGGTACTCCACAAAAATTATATCAATAACCTCACATTTCAACTCACTATGCTAATGGTGTTCCAAGATACTAGGAAAAGATGGCAGCCATAAATATATATATGATATATTATATAGATACTTTTATATTTAATATAGTATATCTAATATATATGCTATTTATCACATTGGTAGATTAAAAAATAAATTTTTAAAAAAGAAAAAGTCAGTTTTGGAAAACCTGTTTACCTCTCACTAAGGCAAATGTCAGTTCCTGATACAAAATAAACATTAAAGTTAATGGAGTATAACAATGAAAAGTACTACTGATTTGGAAAAGTATGTACAGTATTAATTGAATTCAATTAATATTATATTTTTACTACTTCCTCTAGGGGGCAGGTTGCCCCTAAATTTCCTGATTAATTTTTCTTTTCAATTCTACTGGCATGAGATCATCTAATATATGGCATGTTTAATTCCTAACATTACTGGATAATATCCTAAATTTGCTAATTCTATCAGTTCATAATTGATTTCTCTCTGCCATAGTTTCCTTATGTGTAAAAATAGAACCTAGGTTAATGTATGTAAAATGTTTAGAACTTTACACATGCCAGGACTGTGTAGTGTTTACTAGTCACCACTATTTACTGCTGGATTAGTTTTAGGGACTAAAAATTCAGTACCCTGAGTACCCTTGCTAGTCCTTGGCATTTCCCATGGTGTTACAGGGAGAGTTGGCACTTGCCATTTGTGTCGGTGATTCTTTGTAAGTGGCAGCCACTGGGCTCAGCGTGGAAGGAAAAGGCTTTGTTCTTTCTTTTTCTTCTATCTTCATTCATTTCGGCTCCATTTCCAGTGTCCTGCTAATAAATTTTACTAAGAGATAAAAGTATTGATTTTCAAAACTTACCGTCAACTAGCAGATGGTCCTTCAGTGCTTGGATTTCTTTCTTCTTGAGATCAATTCCTGCATTTTTAATAAAAATTTCCGCCTTATCTGAAGACACCTTTGTCCCTTAGGAGAGAAGGAGATAGATAAGAGAAATATTTGCAGTGATATAAAGCGTGGGTCATTTTCCTTCATGCCTAGCATCAATACTACATAGAGAACAGAGAGCAAAGAACAAACTACTCAAGTGAACACGGTTTTGGAGTCTAAATTATGAATTTCTAAGCCTGGACCCATGGAATTCCGTTGTGAATTTTAGGAGAATCTTATGTTGGGGATTGATCCTACAGCCTCACCCAGGCTAAGCACCTGCTCAACCACTAAATTATATGCTCAGGTTGGCTTTTAGAAGAAATTTTAAGGGAAGAAAGTGAAGAGTTAGCTCTGGTGAGCTGTGGCAAAGATCAAAATCAACCTTGCAAATGTGTCCGCCCAGGAGAATTTAAAACTTGCTAAATTCATGGAGGAAAAAAAACCAAAAAGTCCATGGATTTATCATAGTCATAATTCTCTAGGAACCTTCTTATTTTTAAACTGATAGGTAAAAACATAAACATTGTACATATTAATGAATAATGTGATGTTCTGATACATGTATGCATTGTGTAATGTTTAAATCGGGTTAAATGTATCCATCTCCTCAAACACTTATTTCTCGATAGTGAAAACTTTTAGAATACTTCTAGCTTTCTGAGACTGTACAGTTCATTGTAATTATGCACAGCACCCTACTCTACGATAGCACACCGGAGCTTCTTGCTCCTTTCTATAACTTGGTACCCAGCGGTACATACTTTCCCATCTGCCCCTCCTTCCTCTCTAGTTCCCACAGGCTCTGGCAACCACCATTCTACTCTAAACCTCCAAGAAACGAACCTTTCTTTCCGCATTCCACATATGAGTGAGATCATGTGGGGCTTGTCACGCTCTGCGGGGCTGACGGCACTTAATGATCTCCACTTCCACCCATGTTGTTATAAATGGCAGAATTTCACTCTTTTTATGGATGATGTATATATACCACATTTTAAAAAACCCAATTTTTTGTTGTTGTTGTTGTTTTTTTTCCGGAACCAGGAATCGAACTCATGACCTTGCGCTTGCCAGGCAGGTGCTGTGTCACTGAGCTAAATCCCCAACCCTTAAAACCCACTTATTTATTGATGAATATTTAGGTCATCTCAATTTTTTAGCTATTGTGCATAACACCCTGGGAAGTTTTAATATCATATGTTTAATACCATATGTTTTAATATCATATGTTTAATATCATATGTTTTAATATCATATATTTAATATCATATGTTAATATCATATGTTTAATATCATAAGATTGATATGACTGGAATAGGCAAATACTAAAAAAGCAATACTGTTTTGGAGTCTATAATATTTAAATCATTTTAGTGACAGTAGCGTGCCTATAACCTGGACAGAGAAACACTGAATTAATAAACAGTTGGAACACCAAGATTAAGAGTCTGAAAATTGTAAAGAAGAGGTTTTAAAACAAACTTGTAGAGGGCTGAGGATTTAGCTCAGTGGCATAGTGCCTGCCTGGCAAGTGCGAGGTCATGAGTTCAATTCCTGGTACTGGAAAAAAACTAAAAAAACAAAACAACAACAACAACAAAAAACCAAACTTGTACCAACTCCCTACAATGAATGTAAACACTGTGTACTGCAAACACATATGAATAAAAAAATAAAAATTTAAAAACCCAATAGTACAGGTCAAGGACTAGTTTTACTTGCTGAGAAAAGAATCACCATGGTTCTCACTCACCTTTGAGACTCTCCAGGGCTTTCATCAATCTGTTCTTATACACACTTCCTTTGGCTATAAGAGAGGGAAAAAGTAAACTCTCAGGCAATAATCCAAATACTCAAAAGTAGCATAAATGTGCATAATTTAGGAAGCACAGAAGTTTAAATGCCTTACTCTAGAAATTAATTTTTTTAACTTTCAATAGTAAAACTCAGCTGAGTATGGTGGCTCAGGCCGGTAATCCCAGCCACTCAGAGGACTGAGGCAGGAGAATCACTGGTGTGAGGCCAGCCCGGGCCACCTAGTGAGATCCTATCTCACAATAAAAAGGGTTAGGGATACGGCTCAGTGGTACAGTGCTTGTGCAGGAGCAGGCTCTAGGCCCTGGTTCAGTTCCCAGTGTGGCCAAGTGATAAGGTGACATTCAAGAGTGCAAGCGGCTCTCTGTTGGATGACAGCCTTTTGGTGATGGGGATGGAGCGTCCTTACGTATGGAGTGTGAGCTACAACAGTTCGTCTGCTCAGCCTTCCTCAAAGGCTATGTTGTGGGACTTTTCAATGCTCACCATCAGCTGGCAGATTATGCCGTAGTTTCTTGGCTTTATCCTCGGTGAGGCTTATCCCCATAGTTTCCAGGAAATCTTCCAGGTTACTAGTGGCAACCTTCTCACCTTTAAAAAACAAAAAGTAATAAATGACAGTGTGAAGAATGAAGATTCAATATTATGAAAACTGGCTATGCGGCATTGTTGGCTGATTAAACATTCATGAAGTAAACCTGAGAAGAATGCAAGATGTAATTCTAGAGCTTTCTGGCTAGAGCAGTGATGGTCAAAGTTAGGCTCAAACACTGGTGAAGAGGCTGCATGAGGGAAGGAAACAACAAGAAAAGCTTTCTTATTAAAACATAATTTTGTAGCCGGGTGTGGTGGCACACGCCTGTAATCCCAGCACTCAAGAGGCTGAGGCAGGAGGACTGCTGCAAGCTCAAGGCCAGCCTGGGTTACAAAGCGAGCTCAAGGCCAGCCTGAACTGCATAGTGAAATTCTATCTCAAAGAGACAAAAAAAAATTAGTGCAAACTTTAGAATTTTGATTTGTAGCCTTCTGAATCACATGTCATAGGCTTGTGATAAGGCTTTTCTCTAGGCTTCTTTATTAACCTGACCCATGTCTTTCCCATTTCAGGGGTTTGGTGGGCCTATGAGCGGCTTCCCTCCGTGTACCTCTTGGGCTTCCTTCCACAAACGTAGCTAAAAAGTAGGGTGCAATTCCCTGACATTATCTCTTCGTGTGCCCCAGGAAAGCTGGTATGTAGAGTTCTCTTTATTCTTGGGAGTGAACGTAGAGTGCTAGAGGGAAACACACAGGGGTCAGCAAACTGTCGTAAGCAAGGGTAACACGCAGCTAACGAATGTGCGTCCTCACACACTTGGTTTTGGTTCTTTGTAATGCAGGTGGAAATCGCTGCTTATATTCGCCTCTTCCAACGTCTCCCGACCTGCTTGCAGGACGGCTCTGTGAAATTAATCACGGTTGCTTTCTCTGCTTGAAGCGTGGGTTTAAACGGACAGTTTGGCTGCCCTAACCATTTTCAGGTCCAACGTAAAATTTGCTTTCGGTCGTCCGGACCACAGCGTGAGGCTTCTGGTTGAAGGGGATGTCTAGGGAGGTAGCTGGCCATCTGCGTGAGGGACTGGGGAACATGGGCACGAGCGTTTTTCTTCAAGGTGCTTTAGATCTCCCTTGTAAGGCCTTGGGCCACCAGGGCTTATGATATCTGCCTGGAACCAGCTACAGAGATTGTTCTTCAGAGACAGTTAACTTTCTACTCTGCCAGTTTGTTCAGGCTTTTGACAAGACATGGATCTTCTTTCTCCAGGTTATTGATCTAACTATGCATTTTACTTGTATCATCCTCATTCTTTACAATTAAAGTCCCCACAAAAATGTCTGCCTTCTCTAGCCCATTTTGTATTTTATTTCTATGAATTTTTCTTTCCATTATTAGCTTGTTTTCAACCATTCCCAGTGTACCCTGTGGAACTTTAATTCCATATGAGTTTTTCTATTTCTTTAGACTCTTTATAGACTTTAACCTTATTTCCTGACTGAACCTGGCCTCTTCCTAATAGATTTTTGTATTACTTTTTTCTTCTTGAGTGAAAGCTGCTCATTTTTCTATCTCCACTGTCTTCAGACTTGGCATTCTTCTAGATCATAGTTGCTTCTTTCCAACTATAATGAAACCTCTACTCGAGATTTATAAATTTTTTTTTTTTGAGCCACCTCGTGTTTTCATGGTCATGTTAGAAGTTTGTTCCATAGCCCACAGTTGTGTTCTGTGATAGGTTCCTGCCTGGCCCTGAACACAACTTCCTTTTACCCTTCCCGCGTGCTCGGGAAGCCCCAATCAGCTCCCAACACGTCACTGAGCCCGCCCCTCAAGTTCCATCTCTAGCCAGAGTCCTCATAAACCCCCAGCCTCTTTTGTCTTCCCCAGAGGAGCCCTGTGCTGCCTGCAGTCCTTTCCTTTCCGGGTCGGGAGTAAAGGCCTTCTTCCCCATTTTTTTTGTTTCTTCTTCTGCACTGTAAACCTAACGTTCTATACCTAAACTTCTATACCCAAACTTGTGATCCTCCTGCCTCAGCCTCCGAGAGCACTGGCATTGTAGTATTTAAGACATGTACAAGCGTGCCCGGATTCCAACTTTTATAGGAAAAACTGATCCAACAACTCGGCCTCTAAATGCCTGGATCTTCTTGTCCTCAGTGGTCATCTTTTACGTTCTGTCTGGTTGCCCTTCACGAACCCGCCATGGACTCCATCATCACCTAGAAGTACTTCACCTCTAAAAATTCGTTTTTTTTCTTGCTGAATAAGTTTATTGGTCTTTACCTGAAAAGTCTTCATAGAAATTTGGTTTAACTCTCAGCAGCCCGCTCCTGAGCTCTGAGGAAACTTGCCTTCTTTTGAGCTACCTGGTCTCTCTTCTGGCAAGGGACATTTGGGGACTGCTCCACCTCTGCTTTTTAACTTTTCTCTTTGGCTTGTTTTCATAGACTGGATTCTCTCCTATAGCAGCATGAGCTTTCTTATACATGTCCCCCATTAAAAATCCTTTAAGTTCTAATAGACTGACTTCTGGGTAAAACCTGTTATTCTCTACAAGATTTCTTTTACTTCCTTATTCATACCACATCCATTATAACCTTTTTCCACTTTTATTCAAATTCACAATTTTCACTATAACTTCACTTTCTTCCCTGTCTCTACTAGACCACTTAATTACTCTCTTGACTTTCTGTGAATCTCATAGTCCCTTATTTACTTTCATCCCTTAAACTCATTATGTTTTCTTTCTTTGGCACATCAGCCTGAGAATGTCTTAATTTGTTCTAAATGAAGAGTATCATATAATCACATGAGCATCTGCCATTATTATAATGTTCAGCTATCACGTCTTCTGGTGCTTCTCAGAAATGCCTTCATGTTTACCTCATCAGCCTATTCTGTCAAAGCAATATGAAATCACCAACACGCTCCTTGATGTCCCTTATTCTTCTAAAATGCCCTCTCTGCAGTAAGTGATTGTGTTTCCTACTTAACAGAGAAAACCAAAGATTTAAGGTAAACGTCTTTGAATTTCACATGCACACCTACCTAGATCCTCTATCTTTGCATCCTTCCCGGCTTCAGGTTTGCTTGTCTCTGACAGGGAGGTGGCCTCAAATTCTTACTCACACATTCAATTGCTACAGGTTTAATTCCCTTTAGATGTCTCACAGCCCCACCCCATATGACCCAAATGGAAACACTATGCTTACTTCTAAAATTTATACTGAATTATTTATTTTGGTGAATGTCACTATCATTCATCCAATTATACAACTCAGAAACTAAGCAGTCATGCTTCACTCCTTTTTTCTCAATCTCTATACTGGATCAGTAGCCATGGTCTATAGATTTTATATCTGTAACTTCTCTTACATACAGTATATTTCTTCCTTAAAAGTCTCATAGATAGTAATTTAGTTCTCTTATTGTCTCTTGCCTGTACAGTTGCAATTTACTTCTTTCTTTTTTTTTTTTTCCTATACCGGGAATTGAACTCACTTCCTCGCTCTTGCCAGGCAGGCGCTGTGCCGCTAAGCTAAATCCCCAGACCCTGGCAATTTACTTCTTAATTGCTGTCTCTGATTCTATTACTATGCAAACACTTCCATGTGTCCTCTATATTGACGCTAGGGTAATCATTCTAATTTGCAAGTCTGATCACATAATATCCTGCTTAAAATCATACAATGACCCTGTATTCATACAGAATAAAATTCTCACTCCATTATTTGGTATTTAAGGCCTTCCATGATTTGTCCCTTGTATTAGTTTCTCGATGTATTATTTCAAACTTCAAATAATGCAGATTTTTTTCTCATAGTTTTAGACATCAGAGGTCCCAAATCAGTTTCAATGGCAAAGGAGCGGCAGGACTGGCTCTTTCAGGAGACCCGGGTGGAAATCAATTTCCTTGCCTTTTCTACTTCCAAATATGACTTAACTTCCTTAGCGTCTGCATTTTCTCCCATCTCCACAGCCAGCACTGTGGGACCTTCCGTTGTCTTACTGTTTTCTTACTTTTTCTGTCATCAGATCTGTCCCTGCCTCTCACATCTAGATACTTGTGATTACTTCTGTGATCAACCTGGATGATCAAGCAGAATCTCCCATCTCAGAATTCTTACTCAAAATCCTCAATCACATTTCCAAAGTCACTTTGTCATATAAGGTGACACTCACAGGGTCTGAGGATTAGGACCTGTATATCTTTGGGAGCCACCATGCAGCGCACCACACCCCTTCCTTGCACTTTATTTCTTGCCAAACTTGGGACAGTACTTTACGCTCCAGTTTTATGTTCCATACCAAATTATTTCTGGTTCCTTGAAGTGCCATATAGCATCTTCTTCGACCTTTTAATGCTCTTTTCTTTATCAGAAATGCTCATCTTACGCCAGCTGGGAAACATAGATTCATTTTTCAAGGATCAGTTCATGTCTTACCCCCTCTATTGTACCCTTTCGGAATCTCTCTCAGGTATAAGTGACCATATTGCCCTCCTAAACTTTAACAGGCTTTTAACACAGCACCTATGACATTCTATTGAATTTATTTGTATATATTTCCCCCTAACTACAAAGGACCCAACTACGTAAGCCTACACAACTACATAAAGTACTTCTATGATTGGTTTTTGAAGATCCCATACTCAGGATATAATATATGCCCCAAAATGAATTAGTAAAAATCTGACCCACCTGTAAAAAGATCTCCTGCATCCATTACCACATTCATATTAACCATTCCTTCCTCTGTAGGACAAGACAAAATTTTAAACATAGAGATTGTTATAGAAAAAAGGTCACAGATTGAAATGAAACACAAAATTCAGCAAATTTTTCTGATTTGCTCTAGAGTTCTCTTCCATTTTCATAGGATATTCCCTCCATTTATACATTTCTTCTTTTGGTTTCCTAATAACCTCAGCAGTACTCTCACATAGTGTTAAAGCATTGTTAAATTTGTGGACTGTTCTTTTTTAACGATAAATAAGATGAATCATTATTCATTTCCAAACATCTTCCTGTATATTTGTAACTCACTGTCTTATAGATATCTCAAACTTAACATGTGCACGACTGAAATGATTGTCTTGACAGTGTAACTGGAAATTCTTCCTGAATTCTTGAATTGGCTTATGATATAACTGATGACTTACACAAAGATACTTCCTCCACCACATTTTCTACATTTTTTGTAATTCACAATCAGCCACCAAGATCTACAAATTTTAAATTAAATCTTAAATTTAATTGTAACTTTTAAAAATTGCTTTTAATAAATGAATTTTAATTCTAAAATATCTCCCAAATCAGTGTCTTATCCATCATTAAGTTCACGACTGTTGCCCAAGGGCTCTTATCATTTCTTATTATATTCATGGAAATGCATTAAAAAATTGAGTCTTTTTTTAAAAAAATTGAGTCTTTGTTTCTGGTAATACCTACAACATTGCTATCAGTACTGAATTTCTGAAAGAAAAATATTTCAAATGTATCACTTCCTACAATATGAAGTACAAAATTGAAAGGAGATATAGACCATTCAGGTGTAACAGTTGGAAACTTCAATAGCTCACTCTCAAAATGTATAGAACAATGAAACAAAATCATTAGGGTAAAATGAACAATATCAACCAGGGTATTCCTAGGATAGGCCAAATGCTTTGTTATAAAAAAGGTATCATTCACTTAAAAAAGGATGGAACTAATACAAACTGTATTCTCTAACCAGAAAGCAATTAATTAAAAATGTAGAAGGAAATTTGGGAATTCATGAATATTGTATTAAACAACAAATTTTTAAATAATGTATGAAGAAATCACATGGGAAAGTAGAAAGCTTTTTGAATGGAATGAAATTGAATGAATTGAATGAGATGAATGAATTGAATGAAATGAAAGGACAATATGTCACAATTATTGGGATGCAGCTAAAACCATACTTAGAGGAAATTATATAGTGGTACACACCTGTATTAGAAAAGAAGAAAGACTTTTTTATTTTAAAGAGAGAAAAAAATGATACAGAATTTCAAAACAAGATGATAGGAAATTAACAATGGCTATTATACTACATGTTGTGATCTTCAAAGTAGTTGCTTCAGATTAGCAGATATAGGCATGAAAAATTGATCAATCAATATAAGCACTAACTATTCTTTTCAGTAAACTAATAGAAATTAGTGGTACAATTATCTTAGCTATCTTCTGTCT